ATAATTATTTTTGGTTTCGAAAGGGTAAGAAATTTTTAGAATGAAGGCAGGGACAGCACAATCAAGCCACCTGTTTTAAGAAACGATAGTTTACCCATTTCTATGCATTTCTACGCTAAGACAAATATCTAAGCTCTTGGCATATCAACAGGTTGTTTACAGCGTTCCAGAACAATGGTGATATTGAATTCAATAGGCTAAAGAAACCAAGTTTCACTAAACTTAAATGAAGTTTCCTTAGCTTCCCAACGACTTTTCACTTCACTGTACCACATTCGTAAGTCAGAAAAGGCAGGCCAATGCTTTTTTTACCCCTTTCCATCTGTGAATGCTTCAAAAATGGCAGGCCCTACTTATATCAATAATTTACCATTTACCAATGTGAAAGGTTAAGAAAAAGATTTATCACAACTTTGAAACATTAATTTCATAGCAGAATCAACAATCAGGTTCATAAGTCTTCGACAGTTAATGGGCAAAATGCACAATTGCCCGGATAAATCCACATTCATTCATTGAAGGATTACATCACGGGTTAGAGAATGTACAATTAACAGTAGGAGATTGGAGATGATTAAGCGTCATCTGCATCACTTCCCCCAACATGTGCCTCATGACTGACCCAATAATTGCTTCCATCAGGACCAGACACCTTGTACCTGCCCAATAATAAAACTCGTCTAAACCACCACATAGCAACAACACAAGAACTTGACTTCATATTAGATTAGTAATGGGTTTTTATTCCTCACTCAACATTGCTACTGACCGTTCAAGAACAGACTTTCCTTCCTTGTACTTCTGGCTTTTTTCATAGGCAGTCTCCTGAAACAAACCATCAGAGTGACTCAATGCTACATAAAAACAGGCAAAACCGCGTGAATCAAAGTCTGGGACTTTTGAAACACTGCCTCCAAATCTTACATATTTCCACCCAACAATTGATCCACAACCCACACAGAAAATGTCAGCCACAGTATGCAACCCAGTCATCATCATTCTCTCCTCCTTTTCTCCAACAGAAACGTTCACTCTGTCATAGAATAAAACATTTGAACCACATCCATGAACGTAACCAACAGCTATATAATCGCGTCTGAAGCTTTATAGGTCTAAAGGCAACAGTAATATATACTTTTGTAGCTATAAGAACCATAATTACCATGTCTGTCATTGAGTTCCGATATACTACTAAAGGCAGCGCAGTAAAACAAGACTAATAGCAATTATGCACTGTTCTTCGTACATTGTTGTGATGCAGATAAGATTTACATATCGATAGGCTCTCATTAAATGAAACAATGAAAGAAATCACCCACTGGACATACAGAAGGCAAACAAGATAATTAATAAACTGTATTCTGAACTGTCTATGACCATTACTCAGGAGCGGAAAACTGATACATGGATTGTCAGCTCCCTTTGGGTGACACAACAATCTTTAGTGTCTATGACCAAAGGTCTGCGTAATTTACTCAAGAAAAGAATGAGTGCTCGTTTCATTTGCTTGATAATCATCCAATGACAAGGAACCCAGAGTAGAGTCTTGAATAACTTACACCTTATTAAAGAGATAAGCTTTCCCATGTCTGCAGTGGAAAGACTGAATAAAACACAGACAAAATTGTAGTCAATGTCCAGTGAAAAATTGCTGGATCCAAGCAATGGTATCAAGTTAACAACACTACTTCACGCACACAACCAAAAGAAAGAAAACCAAGAAATAAAAGTCGAAGGCGAGAAAAATGAAGGTGCAAATCAAAGATTATGGCATAACTGAACTTCATCATATGGACTTGCTGCTTAACTTTTCTCTAACCAATATATTAAACAGGTTCAAAATCAAATAAAATGGAAAAAAACGTTACCTATACGAGGAGCACATTTCTGCATGTAAATATGAATGCAGGAGTAAACTCCTTTATTTATTAAACAATACTAGCATGAATTATATTCACTAAAAGCATGAAGTTATGAAACTCTAAGTAGTATTTTATAGCCGATCCTCAGAATACGCGGAGACAGCAGAACAAGCCATGTCAACGTTGACTAGAGATGAAAATCAGAGGACGACTATTTTCTACATTTGCAAAGAAAACCAGGAAATTGTCCGCTTCCTCCTATTATTTATGCAAAGTAACGTAAATATATACTCTATTCCAGAAATGGAGCCTGCGAATCACATCATCTGAGTCCATGAGTGTAGACAGTAAAAGAAAACAATTGAAAGTATGAAAACATGAAACAGGACGCAATAAGCTTTTGTAAGCTTTTGAGAAACGTAGGCACGTTTTAGCCGTTGCAGATTAAGTAGCCACAATGTCACTGGGAAAAAAAGAACCAAGATATCTGAACAGAATTGTCAGAAGGTAAAGCTCTCCACTCCTAAGAAGATGAGAAGAGACATTGACAGAATCTGAGTGAGTACCAAAATGCAATTGAATAAACATCAACGACCCTCAATTACATATGATGGACACCCAAGTATAAGACCATATGCAATCGCATAGTAAGACTCTTTTTTGGTACCTAAGAAATGCCCCCACGTAAAAACTTTGGCTATCACATGATAGCGAGCAAGTCATCAAATTGATAGATTAACGACAATCTGGCCAAAATCAATCACTTATACAACAATCCCAGAAGAAAAATACATTTACCATTAAAAGATACAAAGCGATCAAACCTTGGATACGATATCTTCAACAAGAGCGAGGTGGGTCCGGCAGTGCTTGCAGCTATAGATCTTCCCCTCAAGATTGACCACAAACAACCTCCCCATGACTTGAATCTCGACTCAGAGAACAACTCTATGAAATTCCTACGCAATATGGGATGGTCAAGAACGATTTAGATAAAGGGTCGTAGCGAAAATATTCAGTTCAATTGATTAGAGATCGTCCAGAGATCAAATGCGATGAAGACGTCATTCGTGAATTACCAATTAATTTAAACAAGACGTCACAATGGAAGTCGAGATGCGAAAGAAGAAAAGAAAAGAAATCGACGAATATTACCTCCCTTCGGGAATGCTACGATGAAGCAAGAAATGTGGACGGTGAAGCTATCACATTTATCGTTTCTTCTGTAAAAGCAGAATCTGACAAGACGTCGAGAGCACGGTTTTCTTTTATTTTATTTGCTTTCAATTATTTATTATGCGAGTGGTTGCTTGCTTAAACAAAAACCTGATGCGTGATTAGCTTTTAAACTTGTGATTTAGTCTTCATAATCTTCTCAAATTCGTAAAGGTGCTACGAATAATGAAACAGAAAATCACGTGCAAACTATATCATTTCTTACCGTTTAGTTATTATTTATACAAATATATAAATTAAACTTTTAACAATTACAACGTGTGTTGTGTGTGGGTGACTCATGCAAATAATTGATTAAATTATTACATTAAATTATTGGCGAAGACATAAGAGGCATTAAAATGAATTTTAAAAAAATGTATTAATTCTAACTAAAGACACAATCATTAGTGGCATAAATATGAAGATGCCGGCAACAACAGCTGACTAATTCATGAAAAAGGACGGATATTCTATTCAAATTATTTGAAAAATGTCTAGAGTATAAGTTTTGAACTTAATCTACACAAGAAGAATTATCTTAGTAGGATAATGTTTGATTTTGAAGATATCAAATGTACCGAATGATTTGTACATAAAAAATGGTATGCTCTTTTAAAATGAAAGGAGGAAAATTAAATATTAAAATTTTGGGCCTGAGAAACCAAATTACAACATACAAATATAATACAAAAACTTAATAAATTATTTTTGATAAATTTTATGCCATAAATAAAAATAAGACAATAGTTTATATGTAAAACTCATTATAATCATCTCTGGTCCCCCAAAAAAAAAAAACTCATTATAATCATACTACCTCTAGTCCTTAATATAAGAAGTCTTTTAACTTTTATTTTAGTCATAAATATAAAATCATAATGTATTTCGTCTCTCATATTTATTTATTTATTTTCAACGTAATCCTTGTAGTAATGATAGATTTAGTCAATACACTTTATTAGTAAGGATATTTTAGGAAAAATAACACCTATTTATTACAAATAACTAATTTAACTAATTTTTTTAATCTACTCAAATTAGTCAACTAGCTCTTATATTAAGAATCGGAAATAATATTAGAGATAAACACAAGATATTGAAACTCCTTAAAAAATGAGGGGGAAGTAGACGACTTTGGTTTTTCTCTTTCCAAAATAACACGCAAGTTTCGCACGAAGGGATTTGACTTAAAATTTATTTTCAGAACAAATTTATTTTAAAAGTTTAAAATCATAATAATATTATCTCTTACTAACAAAAGACCAACATTAACTGTTAACATAGCTATATTGCCTTGTTATTAAAAAAATTAACGGTCAATGTTACTATTAAAATCAACATTAGTCTTTTGTTAGTAAAAGATAATATCGTTACGACTTTAAACTTTTGAAATAAATTTGTTCTTAAAAAAACTTACGGATACTCAAAGTTTCTGAGTGAAAACTTTTGCCAAAATTGTCACTTAGTCTTTTTAAAAAATAATTTTATAAAATTATTCTAAGAACAAGAAAAAAAAAATAGAAAGCCCATAGTTTCTATTAAATTGTTTTCCGTCAGTGGATAAATTTCTCGAAAGAAAAATGAAACCATATTTGGATTCACCAAGAAGTGCCCACAGCCATTTTAATAGCCTATTTGTGACTTACGATATTCTCCCTTAATACAAACAATCATTTGAGTTGTCAAAAACAATATCATGAATTAGCTCAATTATGTGCTTTCCAACCTGTGCTCCATTCCTTCATAACAATATTCTGCTTTTTGTGCTTCTGCTGAGCAAATATCACAAATTTGTCAGCTGAAATTTTCTCTATGCTCATGCTTCTTGTGCTTCCTAAATCGAACATCAACTTTCAAGAATCGCCTTAGATGATGCAGATAAAAGCAGCTATATATGACAGCTGCAAATATAAGTTTATCTGAAAGTGCCTTTTCACTTTAACCAAATTCCAGATACATAACTATTATAAGCTTATCATTACAATTTATACTGTTACGTATACACAAATTATTCAGTATGAACATCTTTAAATTGAGTTCTCAGAGACTAATGTTCTCAACTGTTTTTCCTGCATCAAACGACCAACTTATACCATATCATGATGGAGTACAGTGCAAAAACAGAATACATACAGCATCATACAAAAACAGAGAGAGTACATTAACTCAACATTTGATTGATTGCACAGAGCAGTTCTCAAGGTGGGGGGAGTATAGAAGAAGAATTGAAATGGGAGCACAGGCGATGTGAGCGGCTCAGTGGAAGAGAAGGATCGAGCTATGGAAGTTTCATTGGTGGGAGTAAGGTGATGTCACTTGTTAAAGGTAGCAATGAAAGCGATGGGACCTTTCCCTGTAACAGCAGCTTGAATTGCAAAGATGAGGAAAACCACCATGGCTAACCTGGAGTGCTTGATCTCTGCGAGTTGAAGTCTGGCCCTCTCTTCTGGGTCGTTGGCCAAGCCGAGGGGATCGAAGAACTTGCCACCTGGGTATATCCTCTTCTCTGGGTCAAGTTCTGCATTTCTTTGGAACTCAATGTAGCCTATCAATATCACCTCAATCCAGATCAGTGTAGTCAATGAGAATGGAAGAGGAAGCCCGAGATAGGATGCCCCTTCCACCAGCTCTACCTGATCAGGGCAGTTACCAAGAACAAAACCATTAAACTTGGTATATTTTCCTACTGATCAACCGGACACTATGGGGGAGACAAAAATGTCAGTCTGGCTTTAATTTTTCACCCTAAAGCCACAAACATTTCAACTTTTAAGCAAAACCAAAAAAAACTGGCAGCACCATGGATCTTTGAAATTTATATACACTCAATTTATGGGAAGAAAATGAGTCATCACGAGCAAATTTTAAAGTTCAAATTAGCTGTACCCACAGAAACAGAGAAATTCCAATGAAAGAAGCGGTCAGGACTCAGGACTCGAGAGTGTTCAGAAACCATTCATTTTTCCTCGAAAATTGAGCCAATTTATCCACATTCCATCCTTGTTATGTGGGAGAGGAAAAAAACATCAGATTATGGGACCCTCACACAAGCGATTCCACTAAAGTAAGCCCCATCCTTCGTGTCTTCGTGCGAAATAGCAACAGGGAAAAAATGTAGCAAGAGTCCGGTTCTGAATTCTGATTTGAAGCGAAATTTAAAAGAGAGAAAAATAATAGCAAGTATGGAATAACGTAAACAACATCGTAAAAAGCTTGTCTTCATCGTTGTTGTCCACAGAAGTCACAGTCATCTTCAGCACCATTGTGATATTCATACTGAAAGCAAGTGGACCACGATAAGCCACGCTCAGCCAAAAGCACCTCAAGGCATATTACCGCCACATATATGGGGACCATAACGACGATATCATATTGTCATTTGCTTAATACTCACAGCAACACAGCACTAAAAAGATCAACATCTAATCCCACAATCTCTCATAAGTAGAAATCAAATACTTAATCACAGGTTTTAACATCGTTATTAGTTCGACACAGACGGGTTGTAATAACGCTATTGGAGAAAGATCCATTTGATCAACGATCACCAACCGTTTGACTATTTCAATGGTTGAAAAGAATGGTAGGCATGTGTACTCAATTTTTCACATAAACATTTGAACAGACACAAACAGTACCTTTCCAGCGTCTTGCCATGCGACTCCAGTAAATGCCTCAACGGCCAAGGCACCCAGTGCTCCCAGCATTGCCCACCTTCCATGGATCACCTCACACTCGCGGAACCTCTGCAACCCGAACACCTCCGTGTACGGCTGGAACGGCGTTGGTTTAACCTCTGTGGTCTCCACTCTTGTTCCGATCACATCTCCGGCCTCATTCTTAGCCAGATTCTGGTCCAGCGAGTCCAGGTCGAACTGCAAATACTCCGCAGGTTTCCCGAGCCCAAATGGGTCGAACCCGCGGTCTCCCACCATGGTTCCGTCGAGCCATTCCGGTGGTTTGGCACCGGGGAACCACACGAGCCGGTCTCCGGATGGTTTGGTATTGGATGGCGCCCTTTTGGGGGGCGGAGGAGGCGGGGCGGCCTTCTTTTTGGTACCAAACTTAAGCAGGGCGTGGAATCTGCCGGAGTCAGAGGCGGGATTGTTGGTGGTGAGACGCGTGCCGAAGAAGTAAGAGGTGGCGGCGGACGTGGCGGTGGCAGCCATGGGAGGGTGGTGGAGAAGCAGCGAGGCGTGAGAGATTGGGAAGGACAGGTGCAAATGGAAGAAGAGAGAAATATATTGTGTGAAAAAAAAATGAATTATGTGATGGGAAAGAATGAGAACGAGAGGCTTATCTCCGCCTTATCTGAATTGGGGCCATGGACGGCTGATGGCTGCTTCACCTCATACGTGGGGCCAATTGGGAAATTTTCCTTTTACATTTTTAGGTTTGTTGGTTGAAAAAAAATTCTATAAAAAATTTTAAAAAAATCTACATGAAATGCATATCATGCACATGTCGAATCAGTCTAAGATTTAAGCCTTAAAATCTATATGTGATATAAAGAATTTAACAATATACTAGTATATTATTTATAAGTTATAAACAAGACAGCTTATCTCTGAAATTCCTAACCAACTTTCAAAATGAAAATTAATTTTGGTTTATGTGGGCCAAATTTGGTTCCGAAGTAAAAAACCAGATCACAACAACTGTAGATGTCAAGGCATGTTAGATAGAGAAATATAAATAAATATTTTCCATTTGAGACTTTTTCTTGGGTCATGTGGTATTGTTCAAGACTTCAAGGTTCAAGCTAAACAAAAATAATTGCAACAACGAACCAATTAAAACTGTCTTTCTAAAAATATATGCATGGAATTATGTTCAAAATTTAGCCTTGTTTGGTTCGAAATAATAATAATAATAATAATAATTATACCATGACTCCATTGCATATGGGCATGAAAAGGAAATCAGCCATTGTATGTAATGGTTCTCTTCCTGTTGTTTTTTTTTTTTTGGGGTTAATTTTCAATAATTATTATGATTCTTCAATAAATTGTCAAATCAGTAGCAAACTCCCCATAATAATCCTACTAGACCTATACCAGACCTGACTTCTCTGGGCCTGTCCATGTATTAAATGGGTAAGAATATACGTGAGGCCAACAACCCATTTCTGAAAATGAAGGCCCTATGCGCTTACTTAACAAAGAATGAAAGGCATCCATGCTTTTGTCTTGGGTCCTTTTGTTTCTTTGATCCAATAAACAAAATCTCAAGAGCTACCACCGAAACCACACAATGACTAGTTCAGGTTATCCAAATAATGGTCTAAACTCAAACCCCTCACAAATGGAAGAAAAAATCCACCACAAGAATCTCCTAAGTTATTCTACGCTGATCCTAATTATAAGACCTTGTTTATAGACATAAACGAGGTGTTATAATTAGGACCGAAGGTAGTATATCACTTGAATTACCAAGAAAAAGATATACGCGCATAGATGAGAATAGGCTCCATAGAGATAAGCCCCCCCCAAAAAATTGCGTCGATTAAATTCAAGTATCTAATTCGGATTTAAAAAAATCTTTCGTCAGCCTTATTTTATTTTAAAAAAGGATGTATATTTTATTTTTTAAAAAAAAGAATTAAAAGCATGTGTGAAATTACAGCTTGGGTTAGGCAAGTTTTAAAAGAATAATACTGCTAGAAGGGATTGAAGGCAGAAAGAGGGAAACATGAGGTGATGATGGCATGCCAGCACAATTCTGGGACTCTGGTGACAAAGTAGTACATGCCCATATTATGGCTCCCTACAAAACACAATACGCATAATTGGCTCAAGTAGCCCATTATAAGCTGCATCTTCCCTCCATTATTAAACCCCCCCAACCACTTTCCATTTCCACGACACAATCAACTCATATCACAAGTCATAACCCTCTAAAGACGGCAACATTAAAACAAACACCATGTCCCTCACACGTTTCATTATTCAGACGGCAAGCTGTTGCCTGGTGGTAAGGTTACTCGTCACGTTTGGATAAGGTTCTGAATTTAGTGTTGACATGTTTTCTCAGGTTGGGTTGAGCCGCAATTGTGAGAGTTTTTTTTTTTTTTTTGCTGGATCCTGATTAACAATTTGCACGACAATAGAATTAGTAAAATGTTTTTTTTGGGGGGGGGGGGTTATTATTGGGGTGGTTCCGGATGGTGAATGACACGGGGGAGTGTCGGGGGAATGTCGGGGGAAAGTGAAGAAGGTTGATGGGAAAAGGAAAAAAGGTGAACAGTTGAAGAGCCTCCCACAATGCCTACACATGGAGCCACTCTTATTTCTCAGGTGTGTTCATGTGTCTCTAATCTGCGTGTGTTAATCATATCACTAATTCGAAGCCCCTTTCTTTAATCTTAATTAATCTCCCCCACATTCATTCACTATATTATCCCCATCTCCCAATTTCTGTCCCTCCTATTCCCATTCACATTCCACGTGTGGTGGGACTCTCTTTCTCTCTCTTCTTCTCATCTCCTATGTGTTATATCCATATTACTTCTATATAAGGAGTGTTTGGATAGAATCAAAATCATAATTTTAAAAGTGTTTTTACGGTCTACAAAATAAATATGTTGAGGAGTTTATTTCGATTTACAGAAAAAACACTTTTCAAAAGCACTTGTGATGCTACCCAAACACCCCTATAGTATAACTTAGTTTTTGCTCAGTTTTGTTTGGTATGGTATGGTTGAGATACACACTACCCATAGATGACTTCAATTTGATTTCGACGTGATGTCAAGTGGGCTGAAAAAATAAGTTATGATTTTCTGTCCATGTAGTTTAGTTTTATTTAATTAATATGATAGTTCTTTCCTTACTTTTCAGCCATACTTGATCTTAACAAGGATCAAGTATGGATTCTTTTAAAGTATCTTACATAATCTCACATAGGGACAAGTTCAAAGCTCAACACTTAGGGTGATGAAAAACTACTTTATCAAATTCTAAATATAAAAATTAATTAAAAATTTCAATTTGATTATAATTATAAAATACCAGTCTCGTTTACATTTAATGTTTATTATTTTTTCCTCAAACTATTTGTATTAGCTATACATGTTAATCAAAATATTTATTATTTAAGTTAGTTAGTTATTTTGTGAAAAAGTTGTATCACTCGTCTTGTTAGTTAGTTATACAACTTTTTCACAAAACAACTAACTAACTTAACTGAAATTTTTAATTTATATAAATTAGCTATTTAGTTTTTATAAAATTAAAGCAATAAGTTACATTGTATTTTATTCTCACGAAAATTAAAGCGCATCTTGTTATTAGCTGTATATCATATGTTAATTTAAAAAATTAGAAAAAAAAGAAGAAGAAGAATTCAAACTCACTATTAGACACAAGAGAATGGCATATAATGATTTTTAGGTGAGAAAAAATAAGGGGGGAAAAGGACAAGCAAATAGAGGCCAAGTATTATTATTCCTCAAGAACCTGCTCTGCACAATTTTGCTACCTATTGTCTCCCTCCATTTATATTTCTCCAACCATATCTCCCTTCATATATATTTCTCCAACCATGTCTCCCTCCAAAGCACTCACTTTTTTAATTTCAAACCCTTATTATCAAAACTTTCCACCGTCCTTTATTGACAGAACCCAACCTGCTTGGCTCAGCCTATATGGAATCGGAGAATCGACAGTAATTAATTATTACCCCCAGGGGAGGGGGGATCAAGTATTAATTAATTATTGCATATGATTAATTAGAGACAAAGCAACCAATATCGTTTGTAACTACTTTAGAATTTTGGCTGTAACGTCAATCACAATGATCCAGGTTTATTTATTACTACTACTTTACAAAAGTCTCAGCGTGTGATTATTAGTGATCACTAGTAGCAATTAAAAAAAGAAAAGAAAAAACAAAGTAACGGGATAATGAAACGAGAGAGCACTGTTATTTTCACCAAGTCCTGTGAAAATAAACGATAGCCAAACCGTAAATCAAGGCTTACTATTGTTTATTAGTAATTATTACAGATTCTGTGTCCTGTTCATGAGCAGCTTTGGCGACCAAAAAACACAGGACATTACATTGACACTATAATACTCTATATGGAATTAATCATTCTATTATTTTAGTAAGAAGATGTTATTTTTTTTTTTTTGGGCAAAAGGCTTGAATATCATTTTTCCCTCGGTATAGCAGGAGATGTCTAATACTCCTTCTTCCGATTTTTATTATAAGACACTCTCTATAAAAAAAATTATTTAAATGTATATATGATAGAAAAATTATTTTACTTTTAAATAAAGATAATGGCTTAATCATTTTTTTTATCCGCTGAAATGATAAGGGATGCCCTGTAATAAATATTGAAGAAAGTACATTAATGTGAGGCTAAGTTTAAGGGGGAGAAAATTTAGTGCCGGCAGGGAAAAGGACAGGGATTCCTCGGCAGATTGAAAGTTGATTCCATTCGAACTGGGAAAGTTGATTCCATCATCTATGGGAGTCGGCATTCCCTTTTATTTCTAGAGTGAAGAAAGAGTTCATTGGTCAAGAATGATGTCCAAAAGAGCTTAGGCTGGAAGTCGGCATTCCCTTTTTATAAGGGGGAAAAAAGGATCAAATACAAATAAAATAAAAAGTCAGAATTTTCAATTGTATTTTTTAAAAATACAAGATTCTTAGCAATGTGACATGGGTTGGAGAAGGAAAAGGCGTAGAATCGGTAGGGGATGGGAAGCGTGAGAGTCGGCGTTCCCTTTGATAAGAAGTGTGATGGAGCTCCATTCCAGGAATGCTTCTGTGTCCCTCGTCTATTGGCTCTGGTTCTTTCTAATTACTACCTCCGGTCCTAATTATAAGACTCAATTGACTAATTTGAAGAGATTAAAGAAGTAAGTTAAGTTAGTTATTTGTAACAAATAAGTGTTGCCATTCCTAAAATATCCTTGCTAATTAAGTGTGTTGGTTAGAACTATAATTATTAGAAGGACTATCTTGGGAAAAAATACATAAATATGAGAGGCAAAATGGATTGAGGTCTTATAATTAGGACCAAACTAAAAGTCAAACGGGGTCTTATATTAAAGACCGGAGGTAGTATCATGGGCCAACGCCATGCCTCTTTTATTACTCAACTTCAAGTCATTCATTTTGTTTTGCAATTATCATACTACTCCACCAGTTCAAAATATAAAACATTTATATTAGTATATATAAGGGTTTTATATTCAGGACCGGAGGAGTAATTATTATTGATAATGAAAAGGACGAGGCAAAATTAA